GTTTTAAAGAAAAATGTTTCAAATACAAGTTTCTTTATTAATCATGGCGAATTTTTTGGCGTTATTTGCTTGTTTGTATTTTTTTTGTTTCGTTGCTATGGCAACCAACATTGTTTTTTTAAATGGGATGCATACATTTTTTTGCATACTTTGATAGAGGATAGTCTCTCTATGCGATGAACACTCGTTTTTTGAAAGTCTTAAATCAGCTAATTACAATCAAAGTAGGCACCGAAATAACGCCGTTGACAGCTTTAAATGTCAAAAAATTGACAGTTTAAACAAATATGGCGCAATTAAGCGAACGACAAAGAATCCAAATATTCGATTATACTTCGATTTTTTTCTAATACAACCATATGATTTGATATGTTCATCGCGTAGAGGGATTTATTCTCTATTAAAATGTGCAAAAAAAAAACATATGCATCCCATTTAAAATAATAATGTTGGTTGCCATAGCAACGAAACAAAGAACAATGTAAACAAGCAAGTATCGACAAAAAATGGGCCATACTTAATAAAAAAATTTTTATTTGAAACATTGTTCTTTAAAACCACAAATGGTGAAGTTATTCGCTATATTCCAGACATTTGACACAACCTGTATATACAGGGTGTCAGATAAAAAACGCCCCAATCTGTAACTCTGTTATTTATGTCCCGATTTTTTTGAACCATGTACCAAACGAAATGGTATCATGAATACTACGTTTTAGGCTACAAATAAAAAATTTCCAACGCCATGTATGATATCTTACGATAATCAACTTTTGTTTTTCAAATTGCTCCATATGTTTTTTTTACGTCGTTAGATAGAGATTTTTTTCTGAATCCAACGATGGTATTGCACATCAACATTTATTAAGTACTTCTTGTCACCAAAAAACAAACTACTTTGATTTTACTGAGTAGCTTGCCATGATCACTAAAGTTTTTTCTGCATTCAAAATAAACTTATAACAAACAGTAAGTTCATTACAATTCATGATTTTTGATTAAAAATGAATTAAGCAAGAATCAAAAGTTCAGGAAACGTGTAAAACACAGTAATTACTATTAATGACAATTATGTGTTTTGTTTCCATGGCACACCTCGTTTTTTTTCGACTTTTTATGACAAAAGCGCATTTTTGTTTTATCATAACAAGCTACTCATCGTCAGTAAAAACAATTTTAAGAGAATATTTCGAATATTTTAATTTTTTTCGCAATAAAGTAGTTTATAAATGTAGATGTATTGTATGTACATAGTTGGATACAGAAAAAAAATCTCTATCCAATGATGTAAAAAAAATATACCGAGCAGTTTGAAAACCAAAAGTTAAATAGATTTCTTCTATTACTAGTCTGTTATTTCAATTATTTCTGCCCTGTCTGTTTCGTGTCTTTCGAATCTCTCTTCAGTACTTTAGTCTATTACTAGTCGTTTTGCGCTCTTTCTTTTTTGCTCAGTATATTTCTATCCATTACTAATCCCTTTTCAGATTTCTTCCTTTCTGCACACTTTTCTACTCAGTCTTATTCTTCTCTTTCCAGTGTTTACAGTCTTCCTGGTCTCTGCCTAGTGTCTTTCTTACATTCACAATCTGCCTTCTGTCTCCCTTCATTCTTTCAAGTATCTTTCTTCTATTTGGAGTTTTTGTCCAGTGACATTCTTTTATTACCAGGCTATTTCCGGCTTTTCCTTTTCTGCACAGACTTTTTTCTCCTCTTTTCAGTCTCTGAGCAAATATTTCTTTCTCTGTTCAGTTCTTCTCTTTTTTGCCTGTATTCAATCTTTCTCTTCAATACACCGATAACTCTGATCTCAACGTTGTCTAAAATAATTGAAAAGGTTCTGACGTAGACTAGTCAGTTTCCTGAAATTCGTTATATCATCATTCCAATATGGATTTAGAGAGGGGAAATCTACAGAGGATGCTATTTGTACCCTAACTAAAAATATATATGAAGCAATAGACAATAAAATTCCCGCATTATGTGTTGTTGTGAACCTCTCTAAGGCCTTCGATACTGTCTCGCATGAAATACTACTAAGAAAGCTGCATGCGTATGGAATTAGAGGTTGTACGATTTAATTGAAAGTTATTTAAGTGAACTCCAGCAGCTGGTTAACATTGATGGTGTGGCGAGCGAGGCTAGGGTTGCGTCTTTTGGTGTGACGCATGGAACAGTTTTGCGACCGCTTCTTTAGTGTATATATCAATGGTTTAATGAACCTTAAATCAAAGGGAACGATAATCGAGTTTGCGGATGCCCCGTCGATTTTTTACACGGCTCCAGTCTGGGAACAGCTGAGGGTGGAGGCAGAAAGGGACTTTTTGATCATAAAAAATTTAAAAATGTTTCAGCTTAACAAGCTAACACTTACCATTGAAAAAACAAAATACGTACCGTTTACGTCCCTGAATTGGGAGACTTGATTGTTGACCGAGACACTTGCATACCTAAGGCGTCGGACGTGGGATATCTTGGAATTACTATTGATCAACATCTCCACTGGGACATACAGACGGATAATGTAGTGAAAAAAATAAGAGGACTCACAGGTAGATTTAGATACCTGTCGCAATACTTGCATAAGAAACAAAAGAAACTAAAAGTACTGTACTTTTCGTTTGTGCAATCTACAGTGTGTTAATTAATTATCATACCCGACGTCATCATTGCAAGTATGCAACCAATATCACAGTATACAAATACAAATATCTTTATTTACTGTAACAACAAATTTACAATGAAATGTCCACAAACAAGAAAAACAAAAAAATGTATTATCAATGTTAATTCTTATCAATTTCATTCACTGCCTCAATAATAAATTCCTCAAAAGTGTAATATGCACTTTCTATTAGGTATTTTTTTATAATTATATTGAATTTACTTCTTGACATTGCCGCAATGGAGGGTCCATCGATTGTTGTGTTCTTGAGAGTCGGTGATATGGTGTAGCAAGTTGATAGCAAGATCTAGTTCCATAACTACGTGATTCGCCGAGTGTTTGGAAAGTATTCCTATTATCGTACACGTACATTAACACCGTATGTATGTATATACTTGGTAGGGTAAGTACTTCTTCTCTAATGAAATACTCTTTACAGCTATCATGCCGTCGCAGATTACAGAGAGCCCTAATTGCTGACTTTTGTATTTTAAATATTCTCTGGAACTCACTATCAGAAATGAAATTGGCATTGCAATACGCGATTTGCATATGATGCGTATTGCACTGTGATGTTGGTTGCATACTTGCAATGATGACGTCGGGTACGATAATTAATTAACACACTGTATTATGTCGTATGCTATCCTGGGCTGGGGGAGTGTTAGCGACACTTATTTTTGATTTGTGATTTATTCCTGGTCGCTCTGTGGAGACCAACTTAACTATCTTTACGGATTACGTTTCCAAAGCATTGGATGCTAGAGCTCAAGTGGATGTTATCTACACGGATTTTGCAAAAGCATTCGATAGGGTGGATCATGATACGCTTCTGCACAAGCTGGCACAACACGGGTTTTCTTATTTTACTCTTAGTTTTTTTGTTTCATATTTGTCCAACAGAGTTTATTGCGTCTCTTATAAAAACGCAGTATCAGATATGTTGGGGATTGATTCAGGGGTTCCGCAGGGTAGTAATTTGGGACCTTTGTTATTTTTATAATTTATAAATGATTTGCCCCTGGTAATTAACTCAACCAGATGCTTACTCTTTGCGGACGATCCGAAGATATTCACAACTGTACACGACTTAACTGACTGCCGGTCCTTACAGTCTGATTTAGATAACGTATTTAATTGGTGTCGGCTCAACAAGCTCCATTTTAATGTGTCTAAATGTGAGTCAATGACGTATACATTGAGGAAGAGACCGATAGAATTTGTATATAAAATAAATAATGTGAATTTGAGGTGTGTTGTTAAAAAGAGAGACTTGGGTGTGTTGTTTTCGCCTGGTTTATGCTTTGCTGAACATATTAAAGCCATAGCTTTGCGTCTCTTAGGATTTGTCATTAGAAATGGGTACAGTTTCTCAAACTTACAGACGCTGCAATTACTGTTCAATTCTTTAGTGCGATCTAAGCTGGAATATGCGGTAATAGTATGGGATCCCGGGTCAATTCTTTATTCTAATTTAATAGAAACTATTCAAAATAAATTCATTAGGTATCTCTACTACAAAAAATTCGGTGTTTTCATTGGTTTTAGATCGTACGAATTTGCAGGCAAATTATTTTAGATCACCAGGTTGTCTCTCAGAAGAAAAATTATATCACTCTCTTTTTACATAAAATGTTGAATAATGTATATAAATAATATGCGCCTGCATATTGTGGTAGGCTAAAGAATATTTTCTATATTCCTCGGTTTTCAACTGAACTGAGACGAAATTCTCTTCTTATTAGAATCCTTTCACTGTACAACACACTGGTGGCTTCTTCCTTCATACCTCTGCTTGGCATTGGTATTAGATCGTTTAAACAACATTTGACACCTTTGATAAGTGCTGCAGCCACCCAGTAGCCAAACTTGATTTTTGTCATTGAATTCTGTAATTTGTGATGTAATTCTGTTCATTTTTTAAAGTTTTGGTTCAACATATCCTCCGCGCGTTCTGTCATGGGTTAATTAACATTTATGCTTGATCTTGGTTGTTTTGCTTGTTTTTATTGGTTATATTATGTACTAGTAGACTTAAGTTCTGAAATTTGTAATTAGGGGCAACCCTGTAATTTCGGAAGTAAAATAAAATAAATAACTAAATAAATAAATCAAAATCCATCCGTTGATTCAAAAAAAAAACCTTTAAATTTAATGCATAATTTAGGTGGTGCGATAATTTTGGAGAGTAGTGTATATTTGTTTAATTATAGATGGCTTTAGAAAAATGTTATTTATAGCCTAAAACATCAAAAAAATTGAAATATAAATAACAGAGTTACAGCTTGGAGTATTTTTTATCTGACACCCTGTATATAAAATAATTTTTTTTTAGTTCAAGTTGGGTTGTAGCTGGTAAAGCTGACCCAGTTTCACCCCCCAGGATTCATGTTCACCCAGATAGTCCCGCAACGGGGGGGCAATGGATGAAACAAGTCGTTTCTTTCGATAAATTAAAATTAACTAATAATCAACTCGATGATAATGGACATGTAATTAATTAATTAATTTTGGTAGTTAATTTTGTTTAATTTAATTTTTGATTATCAGATAATTTTAAATTCGATGCATCGATATCAGCCGAGATTCCACATAGTTTATCTCCAATCAAAAGATGTTAAAATTAGCGAGAAAACCAAAAACTTCAAAACGTTCGTGTTCTCCGAGACCGCCTTCACCGCCGTTACCGCATACCAAAATCACCGAGTAAGTATAAATTAATTAATTAACCCTCATAATACCATGGGGTCACTGGAGACCCACCTTCTAATAATATTTGCATGCTGAAAATTCTGAAAAAAATTGACTTTTCCTAAAACATTTTTTTCTACGCACTAGTTGAAGTACAATTTTGTAACTTTTATAGTTTTTATAAAAAAAGTACAAAATCGCACGTAATACCATTGGGGTCATAAGTCACCCCAGCTATTCATACGTGCTGTGCTTCCCCGTTTTCTACGCGTGCTGTTACATTTTATTTTGTTTACCGGGGAATCACTTCCTACATATCCCTGTCTATTCGGTACTTCCCCTAGTTCTAAATTTTGAATAGTCCCACAATTTATCCTGTATCTGGTCATTCACGTTGTTATCATGGCTCGACGTAGTGCGCTTCGACCTGGTAAAACAAATACAGAAGATACTTTACGACAGTGGTTTGAAGAATGTGATAGTGATAGTGATACTAGCGATGAAATTGCTATCAATGAAAATAGCGACAAAGAAGATTTTACTGAAGTGAACGAAGTATACAATTTTCTAAGTACGGTAGTTATTTCTTATATGATTTTATAGTTCCAAAAATAAACTTGAAAAATGGTATTTTGATCCACAAACACAAAATACAGGTCGGTATTCACGGCGAAATATTATGCACCAAGAAGGGGGACCCACAAGATATGCCAATCGAAACGTAGATAAAATTTCCAGTTCCTTTCGGTTATTTTTTAGAGATAGTGTAGTAAACCACGTAGTTCAATGGACTAATGCCGAGGGTTGCCTAAAGCATGGAGATTCATGGAAAAAACTCGATGCCAAAACATTTTTACGTTTTGTTGGATTGTTGGTATTAGCAGGAGTACAAGTCTCATAATGAAGGAATTACAAATTTGTGGAATAGGAGAATGGACGCCCTTTATTCAACAAGACGATGAGTAGAAACAGATTTACCACAATATCACAATGTTTACGTTTTGACAATGCTCAAGATAGAAGAATACATGGAAGTCTCGGTAAGTTAGCACCGATAAGAGATTTGTTTGAGTTATGGCTACCAATACTACAAGATGCATCCCTATGAAAATTTGACTGTTGACGAACAACTGCTAACATTCCGCGGTAGATGCCCTTTCAAAGAATACATACTTTCTAAACCGGGAAAGTACGGAATAAAAATTTGGGCGGCATGCGATAGCAAAACTTCTTATGCTTACAATTGTCAGATATATATAGGGAAAACTGCTGACCAACGTGAACGCAATCAAGGCAAACGAGTTGTTTTAGATATGGTAAGGGGCTTGGAAGGGTAGGGAAGAAATGTCACTATGGACAATTTTTTTACCAGCCTTGATCTTGCACGGAAAATGGAAAAAAAAATTAACACTACTTGGTACTATACGAAAAAATAAACCAGAACTACCACAGGAATTGGTAACACCGCGCCATCGAGAACTATATTCTACAATTTTTGGTTATCAGAAGAAAGCTATGTTAGCCGCCTACTGTCCAAAAAAGGAAAAAGTCGTTACCTTGCTCTCGACTATGCATGACATTGGTAAAATTTGTAATGATGAAAAGAAAAAACCGCAGATAATTTTAGATTACAATAAAACAAAATCAGGATCATGGATAAACTACTGCGAACTTACACGGTAAAGAGACAAACAAGAAGATGGCCTCTAACAATTTTTCATCAAAACGACGATTGGAAAGCCAAAACAGGGTACAAACGACGAGAATTTCTCAAACAGCTAGGAAAAGAATTAGTGGGTATTGGAACCAGCACAGATGAAACTTCGACATCACAAGGCCCTATAGAAGACATTCGAACATCAAAACGTGGGAGATGCTACAAATGTCCTAGAAATCTAGACAGGAAGTATACGAAGCGATGTCATAACTGCAAACAGTTCCTTTGCAACAATCATCACATAATTGTTTGTTCTAAGTGTAAATCAGATACAAAATGAAGTTTATATTTGAAGGGTCCAGGGAAAAACGTGATAAGTCACAAATGCGTAATTTCATAAGAGAACTATTTTAAAGTTACCAGACTTTTTCTAGGCCGATGGGAAGTAATTCTTCGATTTTGCTATGGTAATTAATATTCGAATTTATTTTTTATTGATTCTGTGAACACGATAATTCTTAAATGTTTGCGTTCTACGCGTAAATAAAGTCAGACTAGGGACACAAATAGNTACCACAGGAATTGGTAACACCGCGCCATCGAGAACTATATTCTACAATTTTTGGTTATCAGAAGAAAGCTATGTTAGCCGCGTACTGTCTAAAACAGGGAAAAGTCGTTACCTTGCTCTCGATTATGCATGACATTGGTAAAATTTCTAATGATGAAAAGAAAAAACCACAAATAATTTTAGATTACAATAAAACAAAATCAGGCGTGGACACTATGGATAAACTACTGCGAACTTACACGGTAAAGAGACAAACAAGAAGATGGCCTGTAACAATTTTTTATAACATGATTGATGTTAGTGCACTGAACGCATACATTATATGGATTCATCAAAACGACGACTGGAAAGCCAAAAAAGGGTACAAACGACGAGAATTTCTCAAACAGCTAAAAAAAGAATTAGTAGGTATTGGAACCAGTACAGATGAAGCTTCGGCATCACAAGGCCCTACAGAAGACATTCTAACATCAAAACGTTTGAGATGCTACAAATGTCCTAGAAATCTAGACAGGAAGTATACGAAGCGATGTCATAACTGCAAACAGTTCCTTTGCAACAATCATCACATAATTGTTTGTTCTAAGTGTAAATCAGATACAAAATGAAGTTTATATTTGTTATATAGTTGTATGATATACAGGTGTCCCAATTTCGATGTCCGCATAGGCCATCTCCGAAACTAACAGAGATAGAAAAAAAGTAGCTTACATGTCATGATCTCGTTTTTCGAGAAAATGCTAATGCCGAAAACTGCGAAAAGCTATCGTCTTTTGTTTTAGTTGGCTATGACGTAAAATAATTTGTTATTTTCTTCTGATAACAAATATATATAGTTTGTTGGGTATATTTCTTATAGTTATTGAATAATTAACAAAGATTCATTTTGTTCCATCTAAATCTAATGTATGTATTTAAAAGTTAATGTTGCTATGGTGATAACCATACATACTATGATGGAATATAATGTATCAATTTTTTTTGTTCTTTCTAAAACTATTGTATGTATTTAAAACTTAATGTTGTTATGGTGATAACCATACCATGAGGGAAAGCATTGTTTCCAATTATTGTCAAAGTTTGTACCAAGGACAGTAGAATCTAACAGGACTGCTACATCCATTGTATTTTTGTAGTCCACTACGGGTTGGTTGCCCGCACTCTACGTCACACTATTTGCCACGCCTGGTAACTGTCTGTGTTTTTAGAGGTTATATGATAGACATTAATACGTCTAAAAACATAAAACTTCAAAACTAATATGAATACGTCTAGGATATAACCTCTAAAAACACACAGCAAACGCATAGACCATAACAACAGCTGGGCGTGGAAAATGGTGTGACGTAGTTTGCGGGTAGGCTGTCACAACAATGGATGTAGCAGTCCTGTTAGATTCTACTGTCCTTGAGTTTGTAGTAGTATTTAAAAATTCACTAACAACTCTGGCATTATGTGCTGGTGCTCCGTCATATTGAAAATATATCATTTGAGACATATTTAGTGGCAAATTGTCGACCAAAGGCTCAATGTGCTGCCTTAATATATTGAGGTATTTCCCTGAGTTTAAGTTTTTATGGTAGATACTATATGTCAAAATTCTATTATCTAAAAGGATTGAGCATTGAACCCCAATCTTCTTTGAACACTTAGAGACTTCATCGATCCAGATAACATTTGGAACAAACAGCAGATTATTTAATTTTTCTAAATATCATCTACAATATTCTAATCTTCGATTGACATCTCCGGCACGTAAATAATGAGTTAGCCCCGCTTTTGTATGGTTTATACTTATTTCTCTTTCTTTCATATTCGGGAGCAGCGGCTTTTGGGTCAGACGTCTTGTTGCAATTTCTCTTGCAGGTCATTTTGGTATGTTTTTGTATGTGGTTTGG